TGCACATGAGTGTATTGCCATATATAACATATAGTGCATGTGGAACATAAAACATATTGTATACACACATATACAGATACATATGTATTAATTACAACCATAACCTTAGAGATTATAGAAGTAAATGTTCACAAATAATTGCTGATTGATAAACTTTTCAATTTTGAGTAAATTTCAGGGAAGCTAAAGAAACACAGCATTTGAAAAAGAAAAATTCATAATACAAATGGAGTGCAAAGATTTTCTTGTGGTTTCAGGTTGAAATTCAGCTTTGCTGAGTTCCTAGATAAATAAAACACTGAAAAGAATGAGGGGAAAGTCCACGTGAAGTTTCACTGCTAATAAGAATAAGTCACATGTGCTCAATGAGAAGTGTGATTTTTAATGGTTCTGTACAACTCGGTCTTTCAACATTAGGGAATTTGATAAAATCGAATGAGCAAGATGATAATTATGGTTCTCAAGTTCTTTATTGGATTCCTTAACAGCTCACTGACTATGAGGAACATGTCGCTGGCCCTGCTTCTGCTTCATTGACTATGAGGACCGTGTTGTTGGCCCTGCTTCTGCTTCACTGACTATGAGGACCATGTCGCTGGCACTGCTTCTGCTTCACTGACTATGAGGACCATGTCGCTGGCCCTGCTTCTGCTTCACTGACTATGAGGACCATGTCGCTGGCCCTGCTTCTGCATCACTGCTTCCAGATCCTGTTTATAAAAGTTCAATTTCTGTGTAATTACAGGAGTTAAACCAGTGAACAGTGCCTGATGCTACATGTTCTGGATAATTCAGGAAAATTTGATGTATGCCTTTTGCAAATCATGGTGGCATAATGAAAATTACAAAATGATCAATCAGGTATTTCATTTATCATGGTTAGAAGAAAAAATCCAGTTATTAAATGGCGAAATTACAGACACTAGGTTGTTCATTGCCTATGCAACATAGCCAATTTATTTCAATTATTTAGAGATTAGAATATTTTCTTTTTTTTAAAGTTATTTGTAAAGAAAAGGTTTCTAATAGTCCCTGTTCATTATTGTGCTATTTTTAGAGCAATGCCCTTTAAAGAATACAGGCTTTACATTAATATATTCAAATCTATATGACACATGACAAGTTATCTCAACATTCTCTTTGTTTCATGTCTATATAATTATAACAATATTACCTTCTTTGAAAGAGTCTGTGAAATATAACTGAAATGAGATAATTATTTGCAAAGTTCTTAGTGTAGTACCTATCAAATAATAAATATTTAGTAAGGTATGGGTGATTAAAGCCAGCAAAACACAACAAACGGTACAAATAAGAATCATTGCAGTACACAGAACATTTCACATCTCATTTAATTTTAAAACAGCAACATAAAGTACAATAATTACCCCCATTTTACATATGAGGAAATGAAACAAACTTGTGAATGTCACACAGCCAACAGAAGGCAGAGCATGAATTGAACACATAAAGATAGTAGCTATTCTTATCATATTATTATTTTCATCATCACCATCGTCAATGCATGCTGCTATCTCTGTAGCAGATTAGACTATAAAAATGAGCTCTTGGGTACTTCCAAAGATAATTGCCTCCCCTTGGAAAGAATCCAAAACAAGCCCACATTAAGCTAAATTCTGCATTAGAGTGGGCTGTCATACAGTTGGGAGGATTTATTCCAAGCACCTAGAAGACACATGAAGGATGAACACATAGAATTCATCAGATTTTCTTTTCTTCTTTGAGCATGTTCCAATGCAAGGAGGAGAAAGCTATCAAAGTCATCTTATCCATACAAAAGGCATGTTAAACATCCACATGATTGATTTACCTAGCTGTCAGTCCCTGGGAAATCAAATACAGGGCAATCATAAGCACACACCACATGAAATGTGGTTTTCATTGTTAATGAATAATAATATTCAAGGGGATTTCATACAATGGAGTCTATACTGCTGGAGTTAAAAATGAAAAATATAGAGATTTTCTAAGCTGAGTTATTTAAAACTTTTTAGTCAAATTATTTTCTCATGGTATCTCCCCAATCTAATTATAAAATCTGTGAAGTAGCAATATTTTGTATATAAATGCATGTTTTCTTAAGTAAAACTTTAATGATTTAAGTTGTCTCAATGTGTTATCACTATGAAACACTAATATATAAAGAATAATTTCACAGAAATATCATGTAACTCACCCAAATGGACGTCAGAGGAAGAGTATAATATTAATATAAGCTTTATTTTTAAAACTAAACAAAATATTCTACTATTTTAATAGAATTTTCTAATGTGCATCAAATGACTTTTTAACTTTTATTATCATAACTGTCACCAACAGAGTTAGACAGTTTAAAGTAGATCATGTTTTTTCATCAGATAGTTTAAAAATATGACTCAATAAAACACATTATTCAATAGCAAAGTTAGAAACACAAAATCAGAAGAATTAAAAACAGTAATTGTAACCAGAGATTCAGTATTATAGTTGGCATTGAGTAGATCTTTTAAAACTAAAGCCAAAAACTAGTAAAATATTTCATAGCAAGATACTTAATGGTAAATTACCAGAACATAGCATTCAATGACTAGGACATAAGCGTACCCACAACCAATAAACTGTCAAGTTTCACACTGGGTGCTGCACAACCTCCCACACGGCAGCTGCATTTCTCTCATGCCACCCAGGAATGATGTGGAAATCAGGACTCCATCACGCTCAACTACCTTTCCCTTTCTACAAGCTTTTCTTTCTTGCTATACCTCATGGTAGAGTTTTGGTCAGGAGTGAGGACCATAAAAAATATCCTCTGAGTGGAAATGCAACTGTTCTCAGTTGCCATATGCTCTTCATTGACCCTGCCAACTCAGTCCTTAAATTGAGGACAGAAAAGTGTCAAGATCTTTACGGGACTGGTGCAGAGAACAAGGTATAAACCTTTATTACTCAGCAGGCTACATTTTAAAATTACTCTCTTACGTTTATACATTCCCAGTTGACAAGTCATCATTTTACTAATTACAAGTGCCTTAATTATTGCAAATTGTTGTAATCACAATTAAAACCCAATTTTAAACGTTAGGCTATTGGGCTTAACAAGATGGCTCAATGTGTAAAGGTGCTTGCCATGCAGTCCTCACAGCCTGAGTTTGTTCCCAGAACTCACATAAAAGTAGAAGGACAGAATCCTCTGACCTCTAAATGCACGTTGTGGCATCCACATTCATGCACACAAATGCACATATTAGAAACTCACATTTGTACAAATATATATATACATACATATATACATATATATTTGTACAAAAGTGAGTTTCTAATATGTGCATATATATATGAGTTTGTAATATGTGCATATATCTAAATGTGAGTTTCTAATATGTACATATATCTAAATGTGAGTTTGTAGTATGTGTGTGTATATATATATATACATATATACACACACACACATATATATATCTATATATAAATGTTCTTAACAATTAAGAATCTGGAGTCAAAAACTCTGGTTACAATTCCTTCATATACTCTTTTACATATTCACTATCAAAGTTGGAAAGTTATCTACTTTTGCATATTTGAGGTGAAATCTATAGCTAAGTATGACAATACTAGTTTACAGAAACAATAAGAGAATTTAGAGATCTGACAAAGGGTTTCATACTTAAAAGGTCATAATTTTTATGTGTTGCATATGTGTGGTGCATGTTCACATGTATATGAGTATACATGGGTCTGAAAGGACAGAAGAGGACTTTGAGTGTCCTGTTCTGTCACTTGCCACCTTATTCCCTTGAGACAGGAGCTCTTGCTGAACCTGGACTTAGGTTGGTGTCCAGCAAGGCCCCATGATCTTGTCTCCACTCCTCCACACTAGGGTTACAGGCATTCACCACCAAACCTGGCTTTTTATGAGGGTCCTGGGGATTTGAACGCAGGTCCTCATGCTTTCACACTGAGGACTCTTACCCACTGAAACATACCTCTAGCCTAAAAGATAACAACTATTAAAATTACTTCTATAGGAAATAATTCTTCACAACTGAGAATCAGGGATCTGGTGGCAGTACAGGAGATCCACAAGCTTCAGTCATTTTCGACTAATTCCCTCTTCACCTAAAGCTGTAATTCTCTAAAAGTTTGCTTCTGTGCTATAATCTGTAAAGTTAGTGTAGATCTTTATTACTAATCATAGGCTTACAAAAAATATGGAATTTTACCTCTTTTCAATATCTAAATCATCTGTTATTGAGATGAAGCTTTTTTTCCTTATTGTAAAAGAAGACTCCATTGCATTAGAAAAACACCTAAACATAATGATGAACTATTTACTGGTATAACTTTATTCTCAATAGTTTCTGATGGAAGAGTTCTTTATAGGGGTAAATTTGAACCACATGGATAGTTAGCAACAGAACCCAAACCTAGAAATATCGCAATTTTAAAAATGTGTTAAAATTGCTCTAGGATTTTCATGGAGTATTTGAAAGCTTCCCAAGAACAGATTCTTGCCTGTTTGCTTCACCAGAGTAGCTTAAGCATTTAGAATAGTGCCTGGCATATCATTAATACTGGTCCTTCACTAGGAAAGTAGAGGAAAAATAACTCAGCTTTGATTTATTTAAAAATCAACAAAAAATTATTTCCACATATTCTGCTTATGAAGGCAGTCTCTGACATTGAGTCCTGCATTTGAATGTAACCCTAGGTAAATCTTAACTTCTTTCTCTCTGTTTCTCCTTCAGGTAGCTAGTACCTTATATTCCATAGTATTGTTATTATGACTAAACAAAATATTGGATGAGTAAAGAGTCAGCAAAACTTCCTGGTATAAAGTTAGCAGGCAATAAACGATTGCTATTTTTATTAAGATTGGACGGTTTTCTGAGGCACTGAATTCCAGAAAGCACATGACAGTGAAACGTTCCATATAGTCACTTGGTAAAGCCAGAACCAAAGGACTATGCTTCTGATCAGTTCCCATCTCCCCACTACCATAAGTTACATGCTCATCTCTTTCTAACAACATATGTTCTAGAACTACTACAGAAAGTAACTAAATTGAGCCCGATTCACTTTCCTTGGCCAAGACGTGAGAAATGCAGAATGTAGATGTGTACTAACAATAAAGAGAAACCTTTGAGCCGTGTGCCCTGGGAAGGAGTTAATAAACCATCCTTCAGCACACTTTACCAGTTTGGAAATTTGGGAACTTCTTTTGTAGAGACAGAGGGAGGGGACTGGGAATCGGTGGCAATAATTCTTGAAGCAACTTCAGGGCGGATGTAACACTCAGTGTGACTGGGCACCTCTTCCCTCTCCAAGTCTAACCTCTCTCTTTCCTCTCAGTCTATTCTGCATTGTGGAGCTAGGGACCTCCAGGTGCTGGTTCCAAGGGAGTTTGAACAAGGGCGGGGGCGGCAGTCTGTGCGAGTCCTGGTCCAGGAGGCGGGTGCAGGCGCAGCGAGACAGCGAGAGCTGCCAAGCTCAACTGTGAGCATTTTCCCTTCCTGAAGTCGAATTTCTCACGTGTAGACCGACCGGGAGACTGAAACAACTGCTGCTGCATTATCAGCTGAGCCGGCTCTGCGCCTCCCAGGTGTACCAGAAACTACAGGTGAGTCATAGTACTTCCCTCCCACCCCACCTGCCCCGCGTCCCACAGGTTGGGGCGCAGCTCCGGAAGGCCAGTGGGCACAATGCTAATATCACCTGATCACTTGAACTTGACTCCCTCTCTGACAGTGGGGTCGCTGTTATTTAAACTCCTGCACCAGCCCACGCTTGTTCTATTCCTTGTCTTTCTGCCTTCTTTTTTTTCTCCCCTTTGTGCTGGAGAATGCACCCATGATGCCTGTTCCTCTGAAACTTACGAAGAGTGTAGAGTTTCTCACCGCTCAAGGACAAGCGAGGGGCTGGAATACCCTGGTGTTTGGTGACTCGCTAGGACTTGAAAATCGTTAACTAGCCTTGTTTTTCAACTAGGAGGTCAAAACCTAAAGAAGGAGGAGCGGAAAAATTGGATCATGAGTGACAGATGGGGACCAGAGAGAAGTGGGCGGAAACCTTAAGACTGGTACCGGAGACACGCTCTTCCACGTGCACCCCCCCAAAAGAACACCCCAAAGTGAAGAATTTACAGTAAAAGAGCAGTGACGCTTCTAAATCAAGTTAGAAGGGACTCAGACCAGGCTACCATAGCCTCCGTTTCAGAACTTTAGGTGTGCAGAGGGGACAAGTGAGTGTGACGATTCCCTTTCTTTCCCAGGGCTAAGAGTCATCTTCTCCCTGCTCCTCCCTCCCTTGCCCCCCACCCCCACCCCCAGGAGCCTCCAGATGTTGAATCAGTTACACCGTCTGGGCTGGGGAACCTCAATTACAAAGTTAAGGGCATTGGCTACCTACATCTAGAAAGGGCCACCAGGACCGGCAGTGTGTCCTGGGGTTGTACAGGCCTGGACCACACATGACCGGTTCCCTGTGCGCTACCACTCCTGCGCTCGGAGCCTCCTCTCTCTACCGCGCACTCGCAGCTCCCTAGCGACGCCGCGGAAAGCGAGCTGGGGGGTGGAGAGAGAAGGGGTGCGCGAGTGGGAGGCTTCTCCCTCGGGAGCCTGGGAGATCCCCGGGCCGTGCCACCGCCCTCGCTGGCACCCAGGCTTCCACCAGCGCCTTCCCAACTTGGTGGTGCTTTCAGGCCAAGGCAGCCGGGATGGAGCTGTCTCCCCGCAGGCGGCCCCTGCTGGACTCCTCATCTCTGGACAGCGGCTCCCTGACCTCGCTGGACTCCAGTGTGTTCTGCAGCGAGGGCGAAGGGGAGCCCTTAGCGCTCGGGGACTGCTTCACAGTGAATGTGGGCGGCAGCCGCTTCGTGCTCTCGCAGCAGGCGCTGTCCTGCTTCCCGCACACGCGCCTGGGCAAGCTGGCCGTGGTGGTGGCCTCCTACCGCCGCCTGGGTGGCCTCGCTGCCGCGCCCAGCCCCCTGGAGCTTTGCGATGATGCCAACCCGGTGGACAACGAGTACTTCTTCGACCGCAGCTCGCAGGCGTTCCGCTATGTTCTGCATTACTACCGCACCGGCCGCCTGCACGTCATGGAGCAGCTGTGTGCACTCTCCTTCCTTCAGGAGATCCAGTACTGGGGCATCGACGAACTCAGCATCGACTCCTGCTGCAGGGACAGGTACCCTCAGGGCTGCTAGGTGGGTGGAGAGAGGGAAGTACCTGCAAAGACTGGAAGCTAGATATAAGCTTCTGTAAACCCAGCCCTGTGAGTAGGTGTGGCTATCTCGGGCTGCTAGGTAAGGTGGCTGTGCAGGGCTGGAAATCAATACTAAAGTCAACTTGTGCACCGAACTTTTAAAAAAATAAACCTCTCGTTCATTTTATTCCAATGACTTATATACTAATCTCGTGTGGAAGTTCAGAGAGGTCTGACTTGCAGTAAATATTTGGTGATTAGATAACTAAATCACCAAAGCTGTGCTTCAAAAGATACTTAGTAATGAAAGTTCTTGGTGTGGTTTATAATTCATTAAACCAGGACTTTCAACTTTGAAAAACTTGCCTGGAGAACCTCTTTAGACGATTAGTTCCTTGAATGGATGGTTATAGGCTTTGATGGTGACTTGCTGTTATCCCACCATTCCTTCCTGGATACATTTCCTTCACACACATAAATGTTGCAGACTGTAGACAGATGTTCTTTTGATCAGAAAACAAGTCATAAGAATTCATTGATCCAAAGTTGCCTGCTTATATATAAATCTTATTTGCATAAGAAGATGCCATTTTTTAAAAAGTCATAGTCATGGGTGGGAAAGTCTTGTATACTATGGGCAGGGGCCAACCTGGGTAAAATATGAATAGACATTTACTGTTTTATTGAGATGAAAGTGCGACCTCTCTGTCAAGTTTAATTCTCTTGTACCTCTGTGATTTTTTAAACTAATCACCAAGCTCTCTTCTCTGAAAGATACTTCAGAAGAAAGGAGCTGAGTGAAACTCTAGACTTTAAGAAGGACACAGATGACCAGGAAAGTCAACATGAGAGTGAACAGGACTTCTCACAAGGACCTTGTCCCACTGTCCGCCAGAAGCTCTGGGATATCCTGGAGAAACCTGGGTCTTCCACAGCAGCCCGAATCTTTGGGGTCATCTCTATCATTTTTGTGGCAGTATCCATTGTCAACATGGCCCTGATGTCAGCAGAGTTAAGCTGGCTCAACCTGCAGCTGCTGGAGATCTTGGAGTATGTGTGCATCAGCTGGTTCACCGGGGAGTTCATCTTGCGCTTCCTCTGTGTAAAGGACAGGTGTCGCTTCCTGAGGAAGGTGCCCAACATCATAGACCTCCTTGCCATCCTGCCCTTCTATATTACTCTTCTGGTGGAGAGCCTAAGTGGCAGCCATACCACACAGGAGCTAGAAAACGTAGGGCGCCTGGTCCAAGTTTTGAGGTTGCTCAGAGCTCTGCGCATGCTAAAACTGGGCAGGCATTCCACAGGTATTCAGATTTCATTGTTGTCTTTTAATTTTCCTTTGTTCAGAAGTATTAGTGACATGACCACAGTGCCAGCTTCTGTATTTACCCAACTCTCACCTCTCAAAAAGGATTAGACAGCAAAACCTGCAACTTGTTGCCAAAGGTATAGAACTATCTAACACTCTTTCTGTTCACAAGGCATTGGGAATAATTTGACCTTTTATTAACCTTAGTTTATTAGAACTCAGAGCCTAGAAATATAAAAATTCATTAAAGACATTATGCTTTCTCAAGTGTCCTAGATAAAAACACACATAAATGACACATAAATCATATTATATATAGGGATAAAAGATAATTTGTCTTCCATGTCAAATAAGTACTTGAGTTGTATAGTATATATAAATTATACACATACAATTACATTTATATAATTACATATATAAAATTTTCCTTGCCTGTCAAGAAAATCATTCTTTCAAAGACTCCTTGATCATGCCAGAAGAGAGGTCAAGGGTTGATGGTCTTCTCATATTTCTTTTTGAGACAGGATCTCTCTGTAGCCCCAGCTGGCCTGAAACTCCCCATGTAAACCAGGCTGGCCTTGATCTCACAGAGATTGGCCTGCATTTGCCTCCCAAGTGCTGGGATTAAATGTGTGCACCACCATGCCTTGCTTCTTCCCATAATTTTTGAAGGAGAAATGAAAGTATTTGCTTTGAAAGAAAAGTGTCAATGTTTAAATGCCTTATTTAGTATTAGGAGACTTTTCTTAGATTTTGGAAATCAAATAAACATTCTTTGAAAAAAAAAGCAATCACATGAAACATACGTATAACACATACACAACTGTACTTGAAAATTATAACCAATGTCAGTGGAAACAGAACAGAGCAATTAAGGAGAATTCTTGCACCCCTAAGGTAGTGAGTGGTCTTAGTAGTTAGACCAGTAACTGTTGAGGGTGTTATAAAAGTTACCTTATGTTACAACTTAAAGAAAATGATCATCTTTCCATGAACTTGTTGAAATGCAGATTCTGAACCCCAATTACCAGAAGTTCAAAATTTAATGTATGAATTAGATTAAAATCATTCATTTTAATAAGCATGTAAATATTTTTCAATCTAGGTAATTCGATCATATTTTGAAAAATACTGAAACAACATAAATATTAATACAATTCAAATACATTTGCACACAAAGAAATTCATTTATATAACACTATTCCTACCTTATATCCATAGAGATATTCTTCAATGACCACTTCGAGACTGATGGCAGCAGAGTCTCCCTATAAATCAAGGGAGAAATTAACTTTTAATGTGACTTTTTTTCCCCTATATCTCTGTAATTAGGACTTAACCTAACAGAATTTTGGTTGTGTATTTTCTTAGCTAGTTTCACATGCCAGGGATCTGATAATGGGGTTTCCAACAACTTTTATAAGTAGCATTCTTTGTTTCCTGACACACATAATAGGATGCTTTCTTCAAGTATTTATAAACTCTTCACAAGATTCAATTTATAAAACAGCAGGCAGGAGCTACATTTTCTTTTCCCCAAAAGAAAATGAAAAGGGAAATAATAGCAATTTCCACAGTGTCATCTCTTCCAAAGTTTTCTCAATTCTAAAACAATATAAAGCACCAATGAAGTCTTAGTTTGTTGAATGTTTATGACATTTTCATGAATATTTGGTAATTTTAATTCAAGCATAGAATTTAGAAAATGTAGACATAAACAACATAAGTCCCCCTGTATTAAAATAGGAACAGAAGTTGAGAGGTGTTATAGGATAATGGTTAGATGTCAGACAGCCTAGTCCTGGCTTTGAAGCTTTGTACTAGGTAAACTAATCCTCTGAGCTTCAACCTTCTCATCTGTAAAATGGTGCAACAGTAATGAGGTCTGTCACATAATATTTTTAAGTTTGTTTAAATTATTAGATGTAACACACTAGCTATTCAGCACTTTCCCCTTGTGTTTCTTTACACGACTATTGAGAACACTCCATGTTTAAATGAAATCAGGTGTTCTGAACACTATACCTCTCATCACACAGTGTCAATTAATTTCAGAAATGTTATTCCACGTAGACACATCAAGGCCAGAGTTATAATGTGCCATTGTAAAGTTTTTTCTGAAAGATGTTTTTTTTTGAAGTTAAACTTCAAAGTTAAAATCAACAATTTTTTAAAAAATGAATTATATTTGAGGAGGAAGCATAAAAATTTGTGTCATGTTAATTAGTAGAAGTGAAAAACATTACCATTGAAATCTACCTGATGACTTTATATCCATGCTCAGATGCCAAGGAGCTCAGAAAGTAACTGA